CTGTGCGTCATCGTATGCCCGCATGTCTGCTCGCCAGGATTGGGAGGTGCGGCCGTACAACTCTGTGTGCAGCGACCGTACAAACAGTGACCAATCATAATTAATTAATTAATATCAAATGGCAGGCATTTTGATAGTTATCATAAGCCCTTTAGTTGACTTCAGGCTTCACAGAGAAGAAGGAACATCAAAGTGAAAAAAAGTCGAGAGGGGGAGGGGAACAGAAGAGTATTTCAAAGATGTTAAAGAGAGAGACACAAAGGTAGAGTGAAAAAGATGAGATGAGTACTGTGGAAGTAGTCGAATATGACATACAGTGAGGTGATGGTGTTTTGAAGTCGGAAGTCAACTGCCGAATAATAGACTTTTTTGCCGCATGAGTATACGTTGACCAGGGTGCACCACGTGGAGGTAAGTCTATCACACACCCCCTACAGTGACCAATCATTAACCTCTGTTTAGCCTAATCCCCCATCCTGATCATGAGTAGCTCCCTGCGTGTACACTTGATCCGCGATATACGTCGTGGATAAACGTGCTCCGTGCTACGCGTCCGTTTCCTTTATAGCTGGGCTATAGATTAGCTGGTTCTGGGAGTCTACCTAGATGTAGGAGGATCTGCCATAGAGATTTCTGAGTCAGTCAGGCTTTAATAAAGTAGCAATCCGCTACAAACTAAAATAATTGAATGAATCGGTTTTATTTCCCCTTGAGAAATTTTTAAGGCATTACTTTTTTAGTAAGTAGTAATGAAGGAAAAATAGACCTGTTTGCAAATTCACCATCTTCTTCAATATTAAGTTCACATAATTCTAACTTCACGATGATGGGTGCTTATTTGATCGGTAATATTCATTTAAGTAGACTGGTTCTTGCCAATTAAATGCACTTATTTCTTCCTATAATTGGTGAATTGAATGATCAATGAGACCACATGTTACCCCCTAGAATGAAGTTACGACGAATAGTAACCTGAGAAGAAGACCAAAAATTCAGCGTTCGTGTTTTGTGCTGAAATGAGTCATTCCAATGAAGCATGAGGGGAATGTGTACTAAGATTTTATTAAGGTGCATTATGTAAATAAAGCATGTTAATGAGATGTATAAGAGTTTGAAATAGAGTGTAATGTGTAAGGGGTACAGATGGAAAGAGGAAGTAGACATATTGCCGATCGCTAAAACCTCATGAAGACGACTGCATGGCCAACGGTCAGATTCACCATATTTGTGGTCCTATTTGCTACATTCTGACCTCGGTGTTTTGCCAGTTACTTATAAAATGCTTATGCCGATATGGGGGCGCATACCGCTCCCGACAACTCGTTCGCTATTTGGAAGATGTACCGTTAACAATCGGGCGGTATTTAGACCTTCGAGTAAACAGGAGTATGAAAATGACAGCCATTCATTCGTATTTAGTGCCTTGAAGTAATTAAACAAATAATCTCTGCTTAAACCTTAATAAGCCTCCATGATAGAATCATTAACCTTGGAATTAATCCTAAAATCCACTAAAACACCTCACTAATATCGAGGAAGAGGGAAGGATGTAATGAATAGCGATTATGTCAGTTTATAGCTACTGACGCAAAGCTCAATTACTGAAATAGAACTAGGAGTACACCAAGTTTCTGATTGCCTGAAAGGTCACTGTATCCATGATTTATTTGCTCGCTACGTGTTCATTAACACGGCCCCAGCCTCTAAGTAGTCGGAGCGTTAATGAGATTTTTAGCCTTTATAACATTGGGCATTCCACAAGATTTTGTTTGAGGTATGAAAGGATGCTATTGGCTTGCTTAACCCTTAATAATTTCATTTCCACGATATTGTACTTTGTTGACGGGGGTGCGCAATAGACTTACCTCCCATCTCGACTTTTTGTCACTTTAATGTTCCTTCTCCTACATGTGAAGCCCCGAAGTCGGCTCCAGGGCTAATGATAACTATCAAAACGCTTGCCATTTGATATAAATAAACACTTGGTTGACGAAATTAGAATTCCCTCGTGGAAAACACCACGGCTCGAACGCCGGATGTGATTAGACCTAAAGTATAACCAAAGTCGAGTACCCTTTTCAATAAGAATGCTTTTGATTAATTTCCGAAATCTTGTGGCTCGACTTGAACCTTGATAACAGGAGGAAAAAATTCTCTCCTCCGCTTCCGAAAATTTCAATTAAAATTGTCATTCAGAGTTCAACTTGCCGACGGAAAAGTATGCGTAAACGCTGAAAGATACTTTTAAACTGTCGACATTGAGATGATCCCGAAGGTCTTTAATTGTGAACCCACTCATCCTCGATGTTCGTACATAACCTCCCACCGGCTCATAGTGATTGAGCACTTTTCAAAAATGAAATCGATTAATCATAACCTAGAGATTCGTTATGCCACCATACTTCAAATTATTTCCAATTAATCCCACTGCAAATTATACTTAGAGACAAAAATTAACTGAATTCGTGTATATATTCAAGGGTTATAGATGAGGATGAGATACAAAATAACTGCAAATGCACCGCCGGAGATTAATTGGCAGCAAGGGGATAACTGAGTCCGTCAGTCGTCAGCTGAGAAGTGACGAAGGGAAGAAAGAAACCGACAAGCCACTTATCTCCCATCACCTGCTCTAAATTACACCTCCATCCAAGATCAAAGTTCATTGGTCGCAAATCTGCATTATGATAGCGAATTTGGGAGGGATTTTTAGATTTAGCAATCAGTACTTCTACACTAGTTTGATTTAGTAAGACCTGACGAAGGTGATAAATGAAGAAAATAGCTGATGCAGGACCAAAAAGAGCGCAAAGAGATGTAATAAGACAAAGGAAAAACTGACGCCAAGACAACCAACCTATCAAGGCGAAAGGAGCAGGATTCAGGATAGAAAGTAGAGTTTGCCAAGTATACCAATCAGAGTAGACATAACGGAAAACGTAGGGGATATTAAATCCTGTCGCAATGAAACAGCATATAGAGACTTGAATAAGTAAACGCATAAAGTACTTCATATTCGCTAAACCGATACACTGTGCTAAGAAAAAGAAAACAAGCGATATTAGAAGATAAAGGATCGACAAAGTGGTGCTGCATATCTTACCCAGAAAAGTACAGTGGTGATCAAAACGAATAACACAGACGTCACATTGATGGCAATGATGGGCTCTAGGTGGTCGAACTGACTCACAGCGTATGCAGTAAGTCCAGTCAGGACCACATTTTTGGGCGATCATTAACTGGGCAATTGATGGGTCAGTAGTTATTGTGAATATAAGATTATAGAGCACATTGATAAAAAGTATAGACACAAATATCATGAAGTAACTATAAAGTAAGATGTCGTCGCCAATTAAATCGAAAATAATATAGAAGCATTCGACGTAGAAAAGTAGGAATGTTAGGGAAATCGTAAGTATTGCAATTGCAAAACGTGATTGTTTCATAGATAAAATTCGATCAGACATGCTTAATGTGTGTTGTGAATATATTAGGTAAATCACATGAAGAAAATTAAGAAAAATCAGTCAAAAAGCTAACGACAAAAAACCAGACTTATCATGCAAGAACAGTAGAGATTGTGACCTTGGGTACTTACTGATTCAGAATAGACTATGATTTTTTGATAGTGAAATCCTATATTATATTTTAGATAGGATGTAGCTTTAAAATCAATTTATAAAAAAGTGTTTCTTTTAAATCTTTAAATCAGTTTTTATTATCTTAATTTTAGTATTTGCAATAAAAAATGTTCCAAAAATTTTTTATTTAAATCTTAAATTGATTTTCATTTTTTTAGATTATGAAAAATTAAAATTAAATAAATTAAACACAAATAGTTTATTATGAACCAATAAAAATCCACGCAGTGCGGATATTATTTGCCTAACGAAGTCTTGTATTTCCGCGTTCGCTCGCAGCTTGTATGTTTCTTAATTTTTTTTAATTTTTTCATTCTGTGTCTTAAATCTCGAATATACAATGTTATTTCGTTACTCATGCTGTTTGTCTTTTTGTTATAGTATTTTTAAAATGCATTCGCTTATTTATGAGAGTAATTGGCGTTAACTATTTCTTTTTCTATTAATTGGTCATCATTAATTTATTTACTATTAATTTCTTTAAGATTCATGCTAATTGGTTAATTTTAAATCTAAAATATTCCCCTTACTCGAAAGCATTCTTTGTTTTCCTATTGAGACTTAGTTATTTAATCTCATTTGTTCAAATTTTACTTAATTTATTATTAACCACGTTAAAAACTCTTATGTAAGCTTTCTTCATTCAATTTTTATTTTATGATTCCCATTTATATCAAAATTTGCCACCATTACTATTAAGTTTGACTTATTCATTGTCATTTTGATAGCTTAAATTCGATGACTTTTTAAGGTAATATTTTGTTGAGCTTGGTCGCTTCGTTTTCACTTCGTCCATTGCCCTTTATGGTGCTTTTTTATTTTATTAATTATTGTAGTCATGAAAAAGTGACTAAAACGAGTGTTCTGTTTTTCTTTAAGTTGTGTTTACTTTTCTGTTTACATTTTCTTTTGTTTAAGTTTTGCATCGAAGGTTTCCTTATAAGTGCTGTGTTTATTTATTAATATTAATGTATTGATAATAACTTTTCAGACTACAAAAATTTGATGTGTAAATGAGAATATATCTTTTTTGGCTATATTTAAGTGCTGTCATTCCGATCTATCTTACATTATGGAGATTTAAAATTTCTTTGTGACCTCTATTTCGTCTGATTGGATTTTAGGAATGCTTTTTTGCAACCTTAATCCTTAACCCAATCATTTGAATTTATCTGTTGTTTTACTGAAGGTATATTGAAATATTTCCCATAACATAAATCGATATTTTCCTATATTTACTTTTTTGTATTTGACTATTCTCTCCATGTGTAGTGAGAACACTCCCCATGAAAAGTGTCTCAGAGTCCCGATTGCTCTATGGTTATAACCTTCCTTGAGAACTATTTATATTTGGTCTTTGCAATTAATATTAATGATGTTTCAAACTGTCTAATGCTTTGATCTTCCTATGCTTGTTTCTTAGACTAGTATTACTAAACTTTTTTTTTAATGACTAGGAGATCTGAGTTCATGTCACTGGCCATCGCAAGAATAATGTAGTTCTTGTATTAATAAATAGCATGGCTGAATTATTACGGAATTTTATGGATTAAATAAAGCATTTTTATTTATAGCTATACAATTGCCACCTCTCCCTCTCTGAATAAATATTTACTGTTTGTTAATCATTGTTAGGATTTAAATATTTCTGTCTTCGCTTTTTTTATTTGTTGGTATGTATCTATATCCTTTTGAACTCTTCCGTTTTCTGCTTTTTTTGCTGTTAAAAGTAACAACTTCGACTATGATGTCATGGCATTTGTTTCAACGTTCACATTAAGATAGTCTACTTATCTTGGTCTTAAGATTGTCATGGTGATGTTAGTAAAATGATTATTTTCACCCAGACAATCAGATACAAATCGTAGTAGACTAAGTTGCTTCTATATAGGGCATTTTAGCGAAAAAGCTCTTTGGGAATGAAACTATATCTAAATTATACATATGATTGGGCAAATACTTTGCTACATGAGACCAGACGACTTTTGTTTTCACTTTTCTTTGTTTTAGCGTGCAGTTTGATTTTATTCCTCTTTTCGAGAAATCAGTACCACCAAATGTCAGCACCACCGCCACCACCACCTCCTCCTCCTCCTTCGGCCTCCTTACCCCCTCCTGTCTTGGGTGGGGTCGGTGGTGGACCACCTGCCTTTCTCGCTGACATCAGAAAGGGTAGTCAACTCAAGAAGGTCCCCGATTCCTTGAAAAATGATCGAAGTGCCGCCCTCGTTTGTAAGTCTACTAATTGCCATTTAAGTAGCACTCGACAAAATTTGAACTACAGATCCTAAGATAATTTCTTTGAACTTTGATTGTCTATATTTGGGAGATAAGGTTGCCTGATTTCGATTATGAAACATTCGTAATGCAACTACTGCCTGTAAATCTATTTATGTTTTTAGCAGGTGTTTGTGTCAATTAATTAGATATTGATAGTCACAATATCGTAGGTGGCAAAATTGTCTGACTATATGAAAGCGGACAAAATATTCTGGCTGTTTCGTTAAAATTTCTATTCCTTTAAAATTCTTTCCTCCACCTTGTCTGGAATTTGCTTTTTAAAAATGTTCGATTATGTCCAATTATTGGCTGTTCACACTACTTCACTTTATTATCTTACCTTTGTCTGCCTTTTTATATTTTCCTCTCTCGTAATGCAAAATTCCTTGAATCACTTTTATTGGAAGAACTAGGGCATTGTTAGTGTATGCGTTTAACTTTTTATGCATATTTTTCTGACATTAGGATAGCAACCATTAAGGCTGAAATGGTTAAAACTACTTCAGACTATAGCTTTTTTACCGTTTCATATATGTACCAAAATTTTGATATTAAAGGTTTTTCCCAAAGTCGACAGATGCTATGGTTTCGATTTTCACTGAGTCTTAATCAGTTATTGGACAGGCTGAGTTTTTAGTTTCTTTTTCACATCAAATGCGAATCTTGTTACATACTCAGTATCCTATTTACATAAATTGTGATTGCTAAATCATTGTTGCAGTTCAATTTTGGTTAGGGAAATTCTAGCTCGGCTCGTTTAACAGTTGTGCTTTTTCATTCAAATCTTCTATTTTACTCTTGGAAAGTGTGTTGTTTTCAATCTTATTTTATCCTGTTGAGCCTTTTTAAACTAATCCATCAGAATCACATATTTTGTCAGTCGGTTAATCATTTTAATTTCTTTTATCTTTAAGTTTGTATAAGTGATGAGGTATTGATCTAAACAGCTGTTATGCACACCTCATTGTCGGTATTAGGCGTTTGCACTCTTTATTTATAAAAACAATCGTAATGAATTTGTATGGCTTCTTAACGCAACATTAACCACTATCGGAGGATATTTCGAAATTCTTAATCCGAAGATGAGGTCTAGGTTAGCTGAATTGAGATTAATTGTCTGCGTCTGGATTTCTAACCAAAGGTAATGAGCTTATAATTTGATAGATTTTTTAGATAGGTAATTTTAAAAGAGTGGTAGAAACTACATTTTATGATTAATGTGTTAGACCTTCCTCCTTTCTACGGATTATACTGTCTCAAAATGGAAACAAGATAGCAGAATGCTTGTGAACATAAGAATTTGACCACAATGCAACAGTTAACTTGTAAATTTTCGGATTCACAGTGGTCATAGGTTCGATTCCCATTGGGGGCTTGGCGGGTAACGGAATGGTTAATCTTCACTAGATAACTGATAAATGAACACGGTAGATGAACTCTAGAGTCTTTTGTTCCCCTACTAAGACGAGTTTAGAAGCAAGACGCTTTACTTAATGAACTTGAAAGTGGCTATTAAAACTTCAAGTCCGAAGTTTCCACAGCTCATTGAAGTACGAATTTAGACCTATCCTTCTTAAATTTTGTGGTTGAGAAACCTTGGTCTGCTTTAATGAGTGATTTTTTGTCTGTCAAAACTAACTCAGCCAATATTTACTAATTTAGATAGATATAGATATTTTGGGTTTTTTATTAAATGATTTTATTCTCTCAAGTGACTAAGTGTAAAACATTGGTACGGTTTGATTTATAATCTTTTAGTCATATAGTGCTCTTCTCAATGTCGTTTATCATGGAGAAGTATCCAAATTCGATTAATTTGAGATTCTCTCTCCAACAGGCGGTTCTATTTGCTGTATTTGTAAACTTCCTTTTGATTCATCTATCGCAATTGATTATAGGGCTTCAAATTAGAATTCTATGTTCGTTCAGTTGTTTATTAAGCTTCATTATTGATATGTATACTTTCAATGTAGCGCATTGAGAACTGCACATATAGACCCAAAAGAACTACTTCATCACTAAGCCAAACCTTACTCTGTTTTGGTAGGACAAGCGGCTTGTTTAAATCAATAGATAGACCAGGCCAATATCCTAGTTTTCCTCAAGGGTCTACATGTTTTAGCTCATTCGATTTACTTCAACTTTGGTAGCGCAATAAGTAGAGGGGATGTTTATTAATACTGGAAATCATCTTTGATTAATGTAGCTTGAAAGACTCGTTGGCCAAACTTCTTCAAGTAAGAGGCAGTATCATCTCCTTTCCAACTAAATTCTTATTATTCTTTGCGTTTTAGCTACTTAGATGTGTGATTGAGGAAAGTGATTGCTTATTCACTCAAATTGACATTGACCTTGTTTTGGGTACCAAAGCATAGTGGGTACTTCGCTATCTCGAAGCTGAGGTTCGGCTTGATCTCTTTGATCAGCTGCTTACATATCTCATATCGTGTGAGCTTGCTTTACTGCCATCGCTATAGATTAGGCGTAGTTAGGCTGCGCTTTTTTCAAGTCATATTAAAAATACCCAAATGAATGTTTAGATCTAACCAATCTATGTGTTTTTCATCCCTCTTAGCCGGGGGTGCAACTAAATCAGCCGGTGGTGGCGGAAGTAGTAGCGCAGTCGGTGGAGGCGGTCGACCAATGGGTGGCGGAGGCTCAGCTGTGCCTTCAAATGCTGACATCAAGGCCAGACTCAATGCTATGTTTGGAGGAGCTGCTACCCCTGCTCCTGCTCCTCGAGTACGTACTTATCCCCCTATGTCTGTCCTCTTGCAAAATTATTATTATTATTTCAAATGGCAGGCTTTGTGATATTTATCATTAGCCCTTAAACTGTGACTTCAGCTTCCCCCAAGGGT